AGGCGTGGCTTTGACGTACAGGATCCTCAGGCTAACCTTGCACAATCAGTGCCAGCAGAGTGCCCAAGCGCAGCTGCCTAGCGAGCAGTGAGGCACAGGGGAGCTTAGGGAGACCTGGCTTGGAGCTCCTGCGTGGGAGGCGATGGGGCTGCAGACGATGCTGGGTGAAGTAGGCCCATCCTGGAAAGCAGCCAGGGGCGTGGGTGGAGCAGCCAGACAGGTGACATCACTGATCTGTGTTTATTATTTCAGCAAATATTGACCGTATGCCACTGCCTGTGTCCTATGCAAGGCCTTGGGCAGCCATTCAGCCCAGCCAGGAGCTAGGCCTTGTTCGAGGGCAGCAGTTCTCAGCCTTCCTAATGCCACGGCCCTTTCAGACAGCTCCTCATGTTGTGGTGACCCCCCCAACCATAAACGTATTTTAGCTGCTACTTCGTAACTGTAATTTTGCTACTATTATGAACCGGGTGACGCCTGTGGAAGGGTCGTTCAGCCCCCCCAAAGGGGTTGAGACCCACAGGTTAAGAACGGCTGTTCTAGGCACTGGTGATACTCTGGTGAGTTAAGGATTTCTGTCAGCAAGTTACAGAAACAAACTCGAGCAAGTTAAAACCAGCATAGTACGGAACCATCTCGGAGAGCTTCAGTCAGGGATGGGGTTAGGGACTAGGAAGCTTCAGGAGGCGAGGCGGCGCCTCTCTGTAAAACCGTTCCCCTCACCCCTCTCTGCAGGCCTGCCCCATCCGCCAGGACCTGGTTTGTGAAACACAAAAACCCCAAAGACCAGTGGCTGAAGTAAGACAGAGGTGTGTTTCTCTCGGGAAGCTGGCAGCTCAGGGATCCAGACTCCAATCAGACTCCCCTCCGGCAGCCCCTAGGGAGTGGCCCCGACTCCTAGTGCAACTTAGCAGTCCTTGAAGAACCGTTTTAACTCCAGAACGGAGGAAGACGCGAAGATGATAAGGGGCATTTCTGCTGTGCCTTAAGAAAGGCTACTCCTGTATTCTAGTTCAGGTAACAGCCCACAAGCACATTGGCCTTAATCACATGGCCATACCTAGGAAATGTGGCCATCGCTAGGCGTGGGCATGGGCACATTCCTATGCAAAATGGGAGAGGAAGACAATTAGCCACTCTGCGGGAGCTCTGGTGGTACAGTGGTTAACGGAAGAGGTCAGTGATTCAAACCCACCAACTGCTTCCATAAAGATTACCCAAACCAAACCAAACCAAACCCATGGCTATCAAGTCTGTTCCGACTCATAGTGAACCTTAAGGTGTTTCTGAGACTGTAAGTCTTTGCAGGACCAGACACCTCATGTTTCTTCCACAGAGCAGCTGGTGAGTTTGAACTGCTGACTTTGAGGTTAGCAGCCCAGGGTCCGACCCGGGCCTCCTTTAAGCGTGAAGATGAGATCCTTGGGGACCTTAGGGGCAGTTGTCCTCAGCCTATAGGGTCATTGTGAGTAAGAATCGCCCCAGCAGCAAAGCATTTGGACTTTGGATTCTGGACCCAGCCTTCTTCTGCCCCTCAGCGTGGCAGACAAGGAACAGCCCCCAACAAGCAGCTTTATGGTTTCTGTGTTCAAGAAACTAGCCCAATGAAATTCTTGCGGGAAAATAGGATTCTTCCAATTAGCTGGGGCAAGAAGGACAGGAAATATGGCTGCCAAGGAAGCACCCCAGGGGGCATTTACAATTAAGGGCATTTTTCTCATTTGACAGTCAAGTCGATACCCCCCAAGTTATCTGCTACTCGTATGCCAGGTGACGAGGACTAGGATGTTAAAGGAGGGAAGTGCTTGGATGACAAGAAAGGAGGAAGGTCTTGTCCAATTCCCAGCCAACACCAGGCCTGCAGGCCACACTGAAACTTTCAGGAAGTTCCATTTGGGTCATCAGTATGGACCAGCAGCCCAGTGAACGTGACCTGAATTCCTGCTCTACCCGCCCCCCCACCCCCACCCACCCCAGAGGTGGCCGCTGATTTACTCCGAGGTCCGAACTATCCTGAGAACAGGCGTTGAGTCATGGTCATCTGGGGGTATCAGGGTAGCTGAGAAAAAGCCATCAGCTACTCTCTCAGTCCCAGCAAATATTTACCCTATGTCACGAGGGTCTCTAATGGAACCCAGACTCTATCATTTTAATGTCCAGATTCCATAAATAATGATAATAATGACTGAAATGCTGGACGGACTGAAGGTATGGGAGCTTTTAAGTGAGGCAGGGGAGAGGAGGTTGAGGGGGGGAAGAAAAATATCTGAACACAATGTCTTGTTTTTACAAAGTAATGGACCAGCCATTTACCATCCATCAGCTCACAGATGCAGGGAAGTCCTGATTGAGAGGAACACAAGGAGAATGGGCTGTAGGGAGAGGAGGCAATGCATTTTCTCATGATAAGAAGGTTGTTTCAGCTCTCACTGAAAATCTTGCCAGGGTGTCTGGTTAAGCTTTCCAGCACGAGTAACTCTCAAGCTGATTTGTCAGATCCTGCTTCTGGGTCAGACCTGGGTCAGGTGAGAGGCCAGCCTGACCCCGGTGGAGTTCCGTAGATAGTGTCGCTGTTCGCAGAATTTCGAAGGCTGGAATCAGAAAGCAGCTCCCCAACCTTGTGTGTGGAAGGGTGCCAAGGGTCAAAGACCCATGTTAAGACCCAGGCGTGACCATCAATCCAAGCAGCCAGAGAAAGAACTAAAGAGCGGGAGTCAAAA